TTGTGAGTGGGCACAAGTCCGAAAAAACCCCGATTATTTTTGGGGAACCCAGGAGCCAAGTATCCTTGAAAAACCTGGAGTTTCCCTGGAGGGTTTTTCGGGGGTAAACCCCCCCGCGGCCCGCTCTGTGCCCAGGCCCCCCTGGTGGATCGGGCGCCTGATAAAACCAGGGTTTTTTTTTTTTTCTGCTGGCTGCACGAAAACCCAACGTACGAGCCAAGCCCGGCTAAATAGGAACGGGATTTAGGTGCTTTTTCCAGTGCCAGCTTGAAGACTGCAGGGGTCTGTTGGTAATCCCCCTTAGTGTGCTGGGAGGCGGGTTAAACCCAGTCTCGGGCCCCTGACACTTTTGTATGGTCTCTTAACGGGTTTGTGACACCCTTTTTTCTTTGGGGGGGTGGTGATGTCTGCCAAGTCTTTTGCTTTGTAGTGAGTGTTTTTCGTGTGCAAGTTCGGTATAGTCCCTCTGGTTTTTCCCGGTGTATTAATAATGTATCTTCCCCCTGCGTTCCGGGAAAAAGGGTTTTAGAAACCTCAAGCGCCCCCGTAATTGAGGTGTTTTTATCTCGTTATGCGCGCCGTGGAAAGTTCTCTGTACATTTTCTAGGTCGGAAAATTTCACCTGCCTTAAAAAGGGGGCTGTTAGAGGCAGCAATATTCCACTAGTAGAACAAAATGACCCGGGAAAAGTGTCATCAGGGCTTGGCCCCCTAGGGTTTTTAAGGTTCCATTATCCATCCTGTCTTTTTTAGCAGATGGGGATTTATACAATGTTTTTGGTCCTTTAAGGTGAGATCCCCCGACATAATCCCCCTCCCAGGTTTTTTGCCCCTTTGGGGATAACAAAGAAGTTGGTGGCCCAAATTAAAAATTTAAGGCCACAAGGAAAGTTTGTATTTATGTTGGGAGGGTTAAAAAAGTTTAGGTCCCACCCAAAAATTTTTGATGTGGTGGAAAGTCACAGTCAAATTAGGTGGACAACGCAGAGACATTTCAGCCTTGGTTTGGGAGAGAGCTACCCCCCGGCCCAAAACGCGAGAGGTCTGCTGCCCGCAGCTAAACAATTGGGAAAAAACCTTGATGTGAACTGGAGACCCCGGGAAAAATTTTTACTGACACAGTCAGAAATGTAGGTATCCTGGTGGGAGCCAAAAATATAGATGGGCTTCCTGTTAACGACGGATGTTTAAGAAAGGAATTGGTTTATACAGATCCCCGTAGGTACATCCTAGGCGGCAGGATTCCACCCGAATTCCCGCCACGCCCGAAAAGAGGGAAGCTGCCCCCTGATGCTGGGGGGGTAGTTTATATGAATACCAGTATACACTATGAAAACCCCCAGGGGAAACTGAACCCGGTAGGGAGGACGAAAAACTCGGCCCCCTTTTTAAAACACTTTTTTCAGGGTTTCATAAAGAGGGAGAAGATTTCCATTAAAACTAGGGAACCTGTTTAAAAGTGGGAGGAAAAAGGTACCAAGGGAGTGGGCCCCCTGGGGGGGAAATACGGAGGGCCCCTCAGTCAAGGTTAAAACATACGAAAAACGTTTAAAATTAAAGGAAAGGGTGCTTTAAAACCAACCGGGGAACCCAAAAAGTTTACACCCCCAAAGGGCCACACCCGGGGAAAAATGGGGCGGTTGAAATTGACCAGAGTCTGTTTACGAGAGTGGCCCGGGGGGGGACTCGTGTCCCGGGTCCCCTGTGGGGCTTTCCCGAAAGGGAACTTGATTTAGGGCTTAGCGGGGTACCTTCGCGGCGGGGGGGATGTGAAAAATTTTTTTTGGGCCCTAAAGTTCCCAGGCAGATCCAGCATGGCCGTAATGGGGAAAGGGGTGAGCTGGGTGGCCCTTAAACCCCACCCAAAAAAAAGCATTCTTCGGGGTTGGCGTGGATTTTTGGTAAGCTTATTTAATTTTTATATTTACCCCTTTAGGGGGAAGGAGTAGGTAGGGTTTTTCTGGTTTGTAACTAAAATTAGGTTTTTAAAAAGGGAAATGTAGATAATAATAATGTTGACCCAAGGGCCTTAACATAGGTAGTAAAAAAGGTGATAAGGAAAGGGAAAAAACTAGGGGTAAGTTTGCTAGGGGGAACTGGCAGCCCTAGTTTGAACGAAGAGATGAGGGTCTGGAAGAGAGACCAGCTCGTTCTTCTTAAGACAAACACCAACTGGACAAGACGTGCCATGATCAGCAGACGGCGCCCCCCCCCCCCACATGTCTTCACATTTGAGACCTAAGGAAATCTGGTAGAGGCACCTCAATATACCGTAGATGACCTCCGTCAGGCCCATACAGTAAGACAAGACCTCCACTTTTCCTCGTAGATTTCTGGCCAGTGTTTGGGGAGAATTGTGAGTGAGTTTGATCTGTGGGCCTGTGTTGCAGCTGGCAGTGCATGCCCAGTAAGTACCAGTGTCTCTCGTAAGTCTGGAAGCTAGTGTCCATGTCTGCATAGTTATACTAGGGGATACATACCCTCTTGGATATAGGAATTTCTGAGGTGCAGGCAGGTCACTAATAACGATTAAATATTGCAGGAATTAAGGCTCCCGGTTGCACGTGGTTTCTGAGGGGAAGTCCAAAGGGGCTAAGGCTAAGCTTAGGGAAGTTGAAGATCAGGATATATGCTGCAACACCAAGTAAGTTAGTCCTTTAAACGTGCATGCAGGCGAGTTTCTTGCACCTTCAATCATTTGTGAAAATCTGTCCTATAAGCCACTTGTGAGGCTGAGGTACCCACCTCAGAGCTCGGTGTCAACAGAGTTTGCCAGGGTAGGCGACTCACTTGGAGGCAGTCCACACAAATTTTCACAGGATGGGTATGGGGTGCATAATAAACATATTAAACTAATGGCACAGAGTTCTCAAATCTAAGCAATAAAACGAAAGGGCACACGATTTGCCTTTGCAATGGAAATAGGAACAAAAAGTTGCCAGGCGAGGAAAGTGGACCCTCTTTGTCCAACCCCACAGAACGGGACACCTACACCCTCACCCCTGTATGACCCTTGTAGGTTTAGCATTTAATTCTGATTGTAAAATTAATACACTCCTCCTTGAGTTCAGCAACCGGCTTCCCACCAAAACCTGTAAATAAAAATCTTCAGAGTGGAAAAAACGGAGCCAGTGAATGGTGCCCCGCCTGTAATGTGCCCAGCAAGCAAAATATGACAAGCACCCCAAAGAGACCAGGCGAAATTTGTTACTGATGCTCAGGAAAGACATCCATACTCTATGAAAGTTGGCTCAGAAGTCCTCCAGACAACTGGTCCGGCAGGGGAATAAATTAACTAATTCTAAGCCTAAGGAAAGTCTCTTGTTGTACATTCAGGTGGCGGTGCCAGTAGGTGGTTGACTATGCCGGGGTTCCAGTATGAGGGGTCCACCTGACCTAATTGAGAGCATTTTATTCCTAGTGAAATTTTATTTCCTAGTGAAATTTAGTTTCCTTTGTAGCTCTAATGTAGATTTGGGTAATACATTGGTGTCCTGTAGCTCGATCGCTAGCGCACTCAACCCACACACTGAAGTCCGGAGTTCGAATCCCCCGTACGGGTAGAAACATTAGGACGTGTTTCCTTAAGACACCTGCTGTCCATGTTCACCTAGCAGTATAAAATGGGTACCTGGGTTTTAATCGACTGGTGTGGGCCGCATCCTGGGGCAAAATTGGCTTAAATTGCCCGAAAAGTTCTGCATAACAAGGGGCTTTTTATATAATAGTATGTCATTGATGTCAACTAGGTCTGTACACCATGTACATGTACTTGTAGAAATAAAGATTATTATGAACATCAAAATGGTATACAATACCGACAGGTTGGTAGGTAAGACACATAGGCAACAGTTAGGCAACTTTATTCCGAAACGTTTCGCCTACACAGTAGGCTTCTTCAGTCGAATACAGAAAGTAGGCAGGAACAGTAGAGATGTGAAGACGATGTAATCAGTCCATCACCCTTGAAGTCGTAGAATTTGAGGTTGTCAGTCCCTCAGCCTGGAGAAGTTCAGTTCCTGACTATGGAACTGAACTTCTCCAGGCTGAGGGACTGACAACCTCAAATTCTACGACTTCAAGGGTGATGGACTGATTACATCGTCTTCACATCTCTACTGTTCCTGCCTACTTTCTGTATTCGACTGAAAAAGCCTACTGTGTAGGCGAAACGTTTCGGAATAAAGTTGCCTAACTGTTGCCTCTGTGTCTTAACCTACCAAAGATTATTATTGTTATTATTTTTATTATTGGTGGTGGTGGAGGTGGTAGTAGTAGTAGTAGTAGTAGTAGTAGTAGTAGTAGTAGTAGTAGTAGCAGTAGTAGTAGTAGTAGCAGTAGTAGTAGTAGTAGTAGTAGTAGTAGTAGTAGTAGTAGTAGTAGCAGTAGTAGTAGTAGTAGTAGTAGTAGCAGCAGGAGCAGCAGTAGTAGTAGTAGTAGTAGTAGCAGTAGTAGTAGTAGTAGTAGTAGTAGTAGTAGTAGCAGCAGCAGCAGCAGTAGTAGTAGTAGTAGTAGTAGTAGTAGAAGTAGTAGTAGCAGTAGTAGTAGTAGTAGTAGTAGTAGTAGTAGTAGTAGCAGCAGCAGCAGTAGTAGTAGTAGTAGTAGTAGTAGTAGTAGTAGTAGTAGTAGTAGTAGCAGCAGCAGCAGCAGCAGTAGTAGTAGTAGTAGTAGTAGTAGTAGTAGTAGCAGTAGTAGTAGTAGTAGTAGTAGTAGTAGTAGTAGTAGTAGTAGTAGTAGCAGCAGCAGCAGTAGTAGTAGTAGTAGTAGTAGTAGCAGTAGTAGTAGTAGTAGTAGTAGTAGTAGTAGTAGTAGTAGTAGTAGTAGCAGCAGCAGCAGCAGTAGTAGTAGTAGTAGTAGTAGTAGTAGTAGTAGAAGTAGTAGTAGCATAGTAGAGTAGTAGTAGTAGTAGTAGTAGTAGTAGTAGTAGTAGTAGTAGTAGTAGTAGTAGTAGTAGTAGTAGTAGTAGTAGTACAATACCCGACTTCCGTGAAATAAGGTTCAATAAAGCGTAAGGTTTAGTGTTCTTTAACAACCTCAACAACAACAACAAGATTTCTACAGACTTGTTTGTTAACAACCAGAAGAAGTATTCTTCATAAACTTGATCATAAGAGAGAAGCACCAGTATACTAGGACAACACTGGTTCATGCCAGGTAGGTTCTGGGGATCAAGAAAATGTTCTGGGTCACATTTTATTAAAGTCAGGACCGAAACGTTTCAAATAAAATGTCACATTATGTGCAAGTTGTGTTTATTTTCAACCTGTCAGTATCACACAGTTTTTTTTATCACTGGCGACGATTAAGTAATTTTTTTTAATTGAGGTGACCACTGCCTCTGGGCCACAACTTTCCCAGAGGAACTACTGCCACACTGCCTCGTTATGTGCTCTTATTATTATAATAATAAAAAGGAAGCGCTAAACCTATGAGGGTTATACAACGTACGTGCTCCAATACTAAAAAAATAATAATAAATTTAGAGATGACTCAGTCACAGATGTTCAAGACTTCAGGACAACAATGGAAATAAGTCACTTTGACTTTTTTTTGGTTATCCTGGGTAATTTACATATATTTTACTATATATGATAATTTGTGTAACTGTATGTGTACCTAAATAAACTTACTTAGTGGCATATTACCAGCCATTCTGGACAAAACAATATCCCCATGAGGCTGATGAGAGGCTCTTGATCCAAGGAAATTAACTTATCCTCCCCTTCCTTGGATCGAACTAGATTGCCTTCCATTCCCCATACACTGTATGAGTCCTATGGATTTAGCATTTCCTCAAATTATAATGATAGTCTGACAACAATATCCAGACATTGCTTATTGTAATTAACTCGTAACCATTAAAACTTGTCTATATTCGTGGCATAGTCGGTGGCACAGCCGTCGGGGAGAGCTGAGACAGCTACAGTTACCCTAGATAATTTTTTTTTTTTTTTCAATTAATGCCTAATTTTCACTGCATTATATTAACCAGTAAACACAAAAGCATCCTACAGTAGTTTAGGAAATTTTTCATGAATAGTGAAAATCAAGTGGTTTTAAAGATTTCTTTGATTTTTTAAGCATCTTGTGATTTTTAAGCCATCCCTCAGATTGAAATCATGGATGGCTTAAGCCAGTTCAAGGAGAGAGCCGAAAAGTGCCTAATGAATGTATTGACAGAAAGGGAAGAGGATGATTTTTTATTTTTTTAGCTAACACACATGTTAATATAAATAACTCATTTTACCTTATTCCTAATATATCTCCTTTACAGTATAATAATAAGATATTATCTCCTTTATAGTATAATAATAAGGTATTAAAAGGACCCCAATGGAAATAAGTCTCTTTGTCTAACTTTTTTGGGTTATCCCAGGTTCTCTACACATATGCTGCTATGTATGATAATCTATATAACTGGATTTGTGTGTACCTGAATAAACATACTTACACCTAGATTGAAATTCTAGCTGTGCTACAGGGCATGGCATACATTTTTTATACTGTATTCTATTTTGACAAGCCTGTTGTCTTCCTAACTAGCATTAACAATAATATTTTGTAACTAGAGCAAAAATATAATTATTTTAAGATCATACAATTTTTTTCCTTCAGACTACACAACATTCACTGATTGATAGTAATTCTGTTGCAGAAAATGGTGGAAGTACGGGCTCAAGTGTTAGGGGGTCTTGTGCACCTAGCAGGTGACACTGTGCAGGTCTGTATCACCATCACTGTTCCCTCGTTAGATCCTGCTCTTCGTGCTCAGTCCAGGCAAGCTCTTCACTCCTTTTAATTTATTGACATTGAAATACTGTGTTGCATAAGTGATGTTACCTTTTCCTTTGATATACCCTTGATGAGTTTTGAGTCTCACTACTCTCGGAGCCCAGTCATGGGCCAGGCTCATCTAGTGCTTGCCTGATCAACCAGGCTGTTGCTGCTGGAGGCCCGCTGCCCCACATATCCATCACAGCCTGGTTGATCTGGCACCTGGTGAACATACTTGTCCAGTTTCCTCTTGAAGGCTTCTACACTTGTTCCAGCCATGTTTCTGATATCTTCTAGTAAGATGTTGAATAATCTGGGGCCACGAATGTTGATACAATGTTCCCTTAGTGTGCTCACCACACCCTTGCTCCTCATTGGTTTATTTTGCACTTCCTCCCATATCTCTCACTCCAGTATGTTGTTATGGCAGTGTGCGGATTTGGGACCAGGCCCTCATGTCCTTTCCAGGCATATATTATCATGTATCTCTCTCTCCTCCACTCCAGCGAGTACATGTTCAAGATTTTAAGGTGTTCCCAGTAATTTAAGTGCTTTACTGGCTTAGTGTGAGCTGTAAACAATCTTTGTATTTGTTCCAGCTCTGATATTTCTTCTGCTTTGAATGGGGCCGTCAACACTGAGCAGTATTCTAAATGAGGGAGCACTAGTGATTTGAAGAGTGTCACCATTGCCATTATTTCCCTTGTTTTAAAAGTTCTCAATACCCACCCCATCATCTTCCTGGCTGTCGTGATCTTTGTCTTATTATGTTCTTAAAAAGAAAGGTCAGCTGACATAATTATTCCCAAATCTTTTATGTGTTCCTTTCATTCTATTTAGTGACCCTCTTGACTTTTGTATACGGTGTTCCTTTTAACCCCTTGACTGTTGCAACCCCCAATCCTGAGGTGTCTCCTGGTGTCACAAAATTTCAAAAAAAAAAAAAATTTATGAAATGATAGAGAATCTTTCCCGGTTGTAATGACACCAAAAAATCGAAATTTGATGGAAAACTGACGGAATTATGCTCTCGCAAAGTTAGCAACCTCGGCGATATTTACAAATCGGCGATTTCGTCCACTTTGAGCCCTATTTTCGGCTAATTTCGACCAAACTCATAGCTATTTCTTTAGAACTCCATTTTTTCTATCGATTGAGTACAAGAAACTGCCCATTTACCGATTTCAACTACCCAATAATGTGGTCAGAAATTTGCAATTTGGCCAATTTCATGAAAATTAAAAAATATGACAATTTCAAAATAAGGTTCAGAATGAGCAATGCAGACATTCCTGGCTCTAAAATAACATTTTCTTTGTTCATCAGTCACGTCTCCAGGCCCCTCTGATATTACTCTTGCTTTCTATTTTGAATTTTTATTCAAACAAAAAATAGAAGATTTACTGTTATGCAGACTACTGCAATATTGTAATAATTGTACAAATAATGTCAACCCATTCATGACTGCATATTAGAATGGATAGTTGGACATTTATTGGACAATGACATCATTTGTTTACTTTTGAACATTGGCAAAAATCAAACATTTCCCCTACTTTGAGTTCCATTTCCAGGTTCTTTTTATAGTAAAATCAATCAAAATCACCTCTCTTTCTATAATATGTTTTCCATTCTATCAAATGAGACCAAGAAAACGAGAATAGAACCATAAATACTATATGAAAATAGACCACAAAGTCGGCATTTTAATTAAAAAAAACGGTCGGAGTTTTTTTTTTCTCATTATGCACTGCGTGCTCCAGGATTTTTTTATATGGTGCACGCTGACCACACAGACCTATTCTCTCACATGTGGGCCTACTAGCTTTCTCCTGCTTGATTTGAAGCCTCTAGAATTTATGAGTACTATATATACGTCAAACACGGTACCTTGTAAGACATATATACATACGACCAAAACAGTCAAAGGGTTAAATTCTTCATTCTTTCCATACCTAAGCACCTAGAACTTATCACCATTGAATGTCATGTTGTTCTCCACTGCCCACTGGAAAACCCTGCTTATGTCTTCCTGTAATTTTTTCGGTGTCTTCTACCATAGTGACTTTCATGCTTATTTTAGTGTTATCTGCAAATGATGATACAAAACTGTGATGGGTGTTTGTATCTCTATCTGCTATGAGGATGGGAAACAGCAGCGGTACCAGAACAGTGCCCTTGGGAACTGAGCTTTTTACCTCGCTGATGCTGGACTTTGCTCTGTTTACTATTCCTTTCTGGGAGTTAGCAACCCAAAAATCCATCTGCCCTCATTTTGTGCATGTTTGTTGTGTTGAAAAAGCAGAAGCTACAAGATAATTTTTTTTTTTTATGTTTCCTTAAAACAATGTTCATTTTATTTGTCATTTACTATATAGATTGTAATAATGGTAGAATTACCTATAAAATGTTGGATAAAAGGACACAGATGTATCATGCACCTTATGTGCCATCATAATATGTCACATTAGTTGCATAGGTGTTCTACCTAATATTTATAGATTATGCATCTTCATAAATGAAGCAGGTGTACATCTGGCAGTACAGATAGGCACATACATTACTGTACTACAAAAGACTAATGATGAATGTAAATTTGCCATTAGTTTTTACCATATAAATGCATATAAAACTTTTATTGCTATTCATCATTCTATTTTTTGCCAGTTTTGGTATATTATCAATAGGTAATTATCACTACCCCACCTCTGTATATTAGTTCAGTACTTTTAACACTGTTGCCAGCATAAATCATTCTTCTCATTGCCCATTTTTAATTAATATAGCCATTTATTCCAGCTATGTATTACTGCAGTACTGAATCTTAAGAATTTATTACAGCAATTTCGCTTACATGTACCATCTCATTTTTACAGTGATGTATGTGAAGTTCTTGCATGGGGCAGTGCACAAATTCACTGCCAGTGTTCGGTGAATGAGCACCGCGTACATTTACCTGCATCCAACCCGAAACAAGCAGAGGAGAGAGTTGTTGCTAATGCTGGTACATATTTAGTTTATTTTATTGAAGGTGCATATGCTGTCTATAAGAGAAGTTTCATAGTCAATGTGCTGAAATTTGAAATGAAACATTAATTGTTATATACAGAACAATCCTATAAATCTACCTATTTTAGCTAAAAAATGAAGTACAGCGTCTCCTCACTTAATGATGGAGTTCTGTTCCTAAGACCACGTCATTAAACGAATTCGTCACTAAGTGAGGAGCATACAGTACTATAATGGTAGTGGGTTTGTGTCACCCATCTTTAATATTGTTTTAATGTTACCTTTGCACCATTTATAACATTTCTGGTATACTTTTAAATGTTTATGCAGTAGTGTAATGTATATTGAAATAAAGAGAATAGAGGAAATCAGCTCTAATGTACATTATTTTGGTATAAATACTGGTCAGAAAGCCCGTTGTAAGTCTGAGGCGTCGGTAAATGATTACATCGGTAAGTGAGGAGAGGCTGTATGTCAAAAAATGCTTCCAACTCCTCTGAAACATCATAATATGCAATAATAATATACATTTTTATTGACTCTTCATATTCTTTTTTAAAAATGTGATATAGTTCTTGTGCTGATAATTTTATATTTGAAGGAGATAAAATATTTTGTTTTATCCTTATAAGTGTATACTTTGTGTTTAACAGATACATCATTTGCTCCACATCGAGGGGAACGTGGTCATGTTGTTCTCTCGACCAAACCAAAAATCCTCTTTTGTGACCTACAGTTGTTGCCTGGTGAAAGTCGATCATGTAAGGGCAACAAAGTTTTGTACCTGTGGTTATTTTCACTGGTTCTCCTACTCTTGCAGTCCGATCTGCTACCAGAGCTCCTTGTTGACTTCCAGACTGTATGTGTCAGTGGCCTGTAACCATACAGTCAAAACCCAAATAATCTGCCACTTGTTGAAATTAATCCTGTTTCCTCTTGAAAACTTTATTCCAACAATATTTCTTATACAGTATTTTTTTATAATGTTGAATTTAAGGACTAGGAGCTAAGGTAAATTTTATCATCAAAGACTGATAACCCTCTCTTTTTTAATTTTTACAGTGTACTTTCCTCCTTTCACATTACTGATTGATTTGCACTCGAATGTCTCCTTATTTGGTTTAGTCAATGCATTCCTATAGAGAGCATGAGTATTATCCTTGTTTCAAATTATTATTATTTTTATTATTATTATTATTAATACAGTTATAGGAAGTGCTAAACTTGTAGTAGAATGAGAGACAATAAGATTTAATCTGAGAAATGAGAGGGATGGCTCCAATTCTTTGGATCAAGAGCCCTTCACTGGTATCAAAATGAGGCCTTGACAGGAGCTCATTTCAAAATCCTGCTCTGTCTTGGGTATATTATCAGTTTATCATACCCCAATATGTGATCCACAACTGTCAAATGATACATGGATACCTATTGGCTGCTAGGTGAACATGTTTGTGAATCTCAACGTACTCGATATTTTAATACGGTAGCCTCAGATCTGAATCCCACAGCCAAAAAAAGAAAAAAAAAAAAAGCTCACAATCAAAAAAACCCGAATTTGATTTCATGGCAAGATGAAACACACAGGTAAGTCCTCTTACACCTGCTATCTATGTTCACCTGGCAGTAAGACTGGTACGTGGGTGTTAGTCGACTGTAGTGATCTGTATCCTTGGAGATAGTATCCTCTACCTTTGAAATTTTATTTCTTCTTTCCACTTCACACACAGCTTTCTTTGCCAGCTGATGCAGCATTTTATGCCACTGTATTTGCTGCAGTAACTATATACTAAAAAATGACCATCATATTATCTTCAGTGTCTTTTCTCAAGCCTGACTAAACACAGACCAGCTCAGGATTAGCAGAGAGAGGATCAAGCCTCCACTTCTTATTTCACTGAATGATCTACGTGGGTTTTGTGCTTCACGAAATAGGGCTCTTGATCCAGGGAAGTAGATTTACCCCTCTGGATCATATCCAGTTGCCTCCCATTCCCCAGGTGCTGTATGACCCCTACAGGTTTATCACTTTCTGATGAAAATAATATTAGCCTTGAAGCTTTACATGTACATATATCCAGTTGTTCAGTAATTCTGTTAGTACAGTATTACATGGTGGACTGGACTAACCAGCTTTGCCCTTGCTACCTTTCTATCAGTGTGAGTTTGTAAATGGTCCAAGTCAGACTGAAACATCATGGTAAGCTCCTCTCTCTCCCATGTGCTGGTTATTTGTGTATTGTTCCAGTCATGGTATTATGCCTTTTGTTCTTTACTGTGTGTAATTTGTTACACAATATTCTACATATTCATTTATGCATTTTAAGTATCATGTATAGTATTATTAATTAGTAACAGATGTTACTTACCACAGAAAATGTTGTGGTAATCAACATGTTGTCAGAATTATGCACTATTTTTCAGTAAGAAAACATTTTTTCCATAAATTTTCCTTATTTTTTTCTTTCCAAACACGTTTACCCCCCCCCCCTCTTAATTAAGGTGTGATTAAGGTAATATTTATGAATGGATTCAGGAAAACTGGTTATCCAGACTTGAGTTCTGGAGATGGGAAGCACAGCACCTGCACTCTGATCAGTGGATGGGAATTTTGTAGCTTGGAAGGTTATTTGAATCATGATATCTGCACAGTTCTGGAAAGAACTAGAGAATGAGTAATGGTGAAACTATATCCTTCTCTGGGTCACTCTACCTTGGTGGGAAATGGCTGATGTATTAAAAAAGAAATTTAAAGACATTGTCTGTTTGCCCTGTGAACAGTTGTATACAAAGAGACACTTCCCTGCGATGCTCCTCCGACGTATCGTGGTCAGCTGCTTAAATACGCTTACAAGATAACCATTGGTACTCAGAGGCTTGGAGGACCAACTAAGCTACTTCGTGTTCCTATCAGAGTCATTGTACTCCAAGGTAATATTTCCTAATCATGTAAGCTTTGTTGACTTCATATCTCTTTTAAGTGTACATATTTTGATCAATTTGTGGGATTTATTTTTATTGAAGTATGTACAGGGTAATTGAAGTTTCTTAAGAGATTTATAGAGTGAAAAGTGTAAGATAATGTAAGTGAAAATAATTAATGTGTGTGTTAAATCAAGTTAATACTGTACATAACATTTTTAGTACAGGTAATATTATTTTGTCTCCATGGGGAAGTGGAGAAGAATCCTTCCTCAATATGCTATGAGTGTTGTAAGAAGCAACCAAAATGCTGGGAGCAAGGGGCTAGTAAGCCCTTCTCTTGTATATATTACTAAATGTAAAAAGAAGAAAAAGTTCTTTGTCAGGTCACTCTACCCTGGTGGGAGCTGGCCAGTGTGTTGAAAAAACAAAAATTATTTTATAGTTGCTAAAATCTTTGGTTACAACTTCACCAGTTTATGATAATAGGCATTAAGAACTCTGCTTATGTATATCAGTCAGGCAAAGGGACTTTTCCCTAGTGTTGCAAAATGTTACCCTAGCTTTTGGGTGTGTTCACATGTATACATGTGAAGGGTGGCAGACTCAGGCAAACACAGTTAAAAATGTACAGTGACAGTTTTACTGTGGGAAGAGACAGAACACGGTATAGTGTTCTTATAATATTGAAACCATAATATTTCTGTTTTTGAAGATTATCATTGTTGCAGTTCCTCTTGATACTATATCACTAATAATCAATGTATCACTGTTATAACTTCTCCTGAAGCTGTCACTAGTCACTGTAGTTTCTCACAGTACTGTCACCAGTTACAGTGCCTATCCTCATCATCAACACCGGCCACTGCAAATGGTGTTTTGCTGCTGTCTGCTGTTCATTGATGGCTTAAAGACTGTTAACTCCCTGACAACTGACTCTGAACTGCCTTTTCCTGCCTTACATCAGGCAGAAAGCTCTGATTGATTAGCTCAGAACAGTCACCATAGTGCAGATTATTCAAGCACGCTTAACCCTTAACCCTTTGAGGGTTTTCGTCGTACTAGTACGTTTTACGCGTAGGGGTTTTTGACGTACTAGTACGCATAAATTCTAGCGGCCTCAAATCTAGTGGGAGAAAGCTGGTAGGCCTTCATATGAAAGAATGGGTCTATGTGGTCAGTGTGCACAGTCTAAAAAAAATCCTGCAGCACACAGTGCATAATGAGAAAAAAAAAACTTTGACCATTTTTTTGGAATAAATCAGCGACTTTGCAGTGTATTTTCGTATGGTATTTATTGTTGTATTCTAGTTTTCTTGGTCTCATTTTATAGAATGGAAGACATATTACAGAAATTGAGATAATTTTGGCTGGTTTTACAAAGAAAGGTGCCTTGAAATTGAGCTCAAAGTAGCAGAAATGTTCGATTTTTACCAAACTTCAAAAGTAAACAAATCGTGCCAAGCGTGCAATACACGTCAACTGGTGAGTCTAATATTCTTTCACAAGTGCACCAATAATATTTATACCATTTTTTACACTAATGCAGTAGTCTGCATAACAGTAAATCTTATATTTTTTTGTGAGAATAAAAATTCAAAATGGAAAGCAAAAGAATATAAGAGGGGCCTTGAGACGTGACTAATGACTAGAGGAAATGTCATTTTAGTGCCAGGAATGTCTTTCTTGTTTATTCTGGACCCTATTCGGAAATTGGCATCTTTTGAAATTTGTGTGAAATTGGCAAAATTGCTAAATTCTGACCACTGTACTGGATAGTTGAATTTCATAAATGGGTGGTTTCTTGCACCCATTCGATAGAAAAAATGGAGTTCTAGCGAAATATTCATGTTTTTTGTCGACTAGTACAGTGAAATTGGCCGAAAATGGGGCTCAAAGTGGGCAAAATCGCCGATGCGTGAACGTCGCCGAGACCGCTAACTTTGCGAGAGCATAATTTCGTAAGTTTTCTATCAAATTTCAAACTTTTGGTGTCTTTATGATCGGGAAAAGATTCTCTATCTTTTCATAAGAGAAAATAATTTTTTTTTTTTTTAAATTTGGCCGACCCTGAGAACGAGTTTCAGAGAGGGCCTGTCGACCCTCAAAGGGTTTAACTGTCCAAACGTAGATCTACTTTTACACACGTAGCGCCCCGACCTTGATTTCCCCCATTTGAAAGCATGTAGAAAAAACTTAGATCTTCATTTGGGCAGTTGAACCCTTTTATGTCGAAACCCCAAATCCTGAGGTGTCTCCTGGTGTTGCAAAATATTTGAAAAAAAAAAATTATTTTTCTTATGAAATGATAGAGAATCTTTTCCCAATGGTAATGACACCAAAAGTACGAAATTTGATGGAACACTTAGGGAATTACGCTCTCGTGAAGTTAGTGACCTTGGCGATATTTACGAATTGGCGATTTCGCCCACTTTGAGCCCTATTTTCAGCTAATTCCATAGTTCCAGTTGACCAAACTCATAGTTGTTTCTTTAGAACTCCATTTGTTCTATTGATTGTGTACAAGAAACTACCCTTTACTGATTTCAACTACCCAATAAAGTGGTCAGAAATTGGCAATTTGGCCAAGTTCACGCAAATAAAAAAATATGCCAATTTCAAAATAGGGTCCAGAATGAACAATGCAGACATTCCTGGCTCTAAAATAGCATTTTCTTTGTTCATCAGTCACATCTCCAGGCTCCTCTGATATTACTCTTGCTTTCTGTTTTGAATTTTTATTCAAACAAAAAATAGAAGATTTACTGTTATGCAGACTATTGCAATATTATAATAATTGTATAAAAAGCATCAACTCACTTATGACTGCATATTAGAATGGCTAGGTGGACATTTATTGGACAATGACATCATTTGTTTGCTCTTGAACATCGGCAAAAATCAAACATTTCTCCTACTTTGAGCTCCATTTCAAGGCCCTTTTCATAGTAAAACCAATCAAAATCACTTCTATTTCTATAATATGTTTTCCATATATATATATAACCATAAAAACTGTACGAAAATACACTTCAAAGTCAGCATTATAATCCAAAAACACTATCAGAGTTTTTTTTCCTCATTATGCACTGCGTGCTGCAGGATTTTTTTTATATGGCGCACACTGACCACACAGACCCATTCTCTCACATGTGGGCCTACCAGCTTTCTCCTCCTCGATTTGAAGCCGCTAGAATTTTTGAGTATATATACGTCAAACACGGTGGCTCGTAAGACATATATATATGACCGAAACAGTCAAAGGGTTAAGGGTTAAAATAACCAATCAGCAACTTACAGCTTCTGTGGGCAGCACCCTATTGACCAAGCCAGTCCTTGCCAATTGCTCAAACTATACCAAAATCCAGCTTTCTCATTCGTTGACTTAAATTTGATCAAGCAACCAGTCATCATATTCATAACACAATGAATGATTTTCTATTTGATTTATTCTCACTATGACCCATTTTGGGTACAGTGCTGTCTGGTAATTCCATTAGTGTGGTAATTCCATTAGTGTGATATACATTCATCATAAGTGGCTGGAGCAGTTTACAAAGCTTGTTGAAGATTTGTATCATACAAAATTAAGTTTTAATGGACTAATTGAGTTTAGTACAGTTATCATAGGCCTGGAATATCATCTGCATAATGTGTGGAACACACACAATAATAATAATACAGCGATCCCTCCAATTAACTGACTAAATTGTTGGAAACTTCTAAATTATGAATTGTTCATGATTATCTCATTGTGTTCTGAGCAAACAAACTTGGTCTCCTGGTTTGGACAACAACCAGACACTAGCAATATGGGAACTGTAGCCTGTAGTACTACAATACAGTACTTCTTCTTCTTCTTTCTTTCAACAAACCAGCTGTATCCCACTAAGGCAGGGTGGTCCAAAAAGAAAAACGAGTCTCTCTTTTTAACTTTAGTAATGTATTCAGGAAAAGGGATTACTAGTCCCTTGCTCCCAGCATATTAATCGCCTCTTACAACGTGCATGGCTTACAGATGAAGAATTCCACTTACCCATATAGATAAGAGGAAATAAACAAGAACAAGAACTAGTAAGATAATAGAAGAAAACCAAGAGGGGTGTGTTTATATGTGCTTATACATGCAAGTGACGTGTAACCTAAGTGTAAGTAGAAGTAGCAAGAAGTACCTGAAAACTTGCATGTTTATGAGACAGAAAAAAGACACCAGCAATCCTCCTCCTTACAATAAATTGGCCGTATCCCACCGAGGCAGGGTGGCCCAAAAAGAAAAACAAAAGTTTCTCCTTTTAAATTTAAGGGCTCTAGCCCCTTGCTCCCGGCATTTTAGTCTCCTCGTACAACACGCATGGCTTACGGAGGAAGAATTCTGTTCTACTTCCCCATGGAAATAAGCGGAAATAAACAAAAACAAGAACTAGTAAGAAGATAGAAGAAAACCCAGAGGGGTGTGTATATATATGCTTGTACATGTATGTGTATCAAGAATCAACTAGCAGGCCAGACTTGATTCCTGGAGATGGGAAGTATAGTGCCGGCACTCTGAAGGAGGGGTGTTAATGTTGCTGTTTTATAACTGTAGTGTAAGCATGCCTCTGGCAAGACAGTGATGGAGTGAATGATGATGGAAGTTTTTCTTTTTCAGGCCACCCTACCTTGGTGAGAAACAGCCGATGTGTTCATAAAAAAGAATAATAATAATGTACCTGTAGTGTGACCTAAGTGTAAGGAGAAGTAGCAAGACATACCTGAAATCTTGCATGTATATGCGACAAAAAAGACACCAGCAATCCTTCCATCATGTAAAACAATTACAGGCTTCCGTTTTACACTCATTTGGCAGGACGGCAGTACCTCCCTGGTGGTTGCTGTCTGCCAACCTACCACCTACAATACAGTACAGTACTGTATTATAGAAATTTTATAGTACTTTTTGTAATTTAGTTATTTTATTTACCTTTTCATGGTGGAGAGATGAAATGTAAACCCCCATGATTAATAGTGGAGACTCAGAATAACTTTTATTCTGGGTCAGAGGAGCTGTAAAGCTCTACTAGTGAAAATAATGTAGAAAGCTGAGAAGATGTGGCACTGAAAACCCAGACTCAACCTTCTTTATCAGTTCAAGTTTCTGCTGAACATGGAACCACACATTTCCTCTTGACATCACCACTTGCTTTAGAAGCCATTGTTAATTACACTTTACTGAATAATGCTAATAAGGTCACATAAAATACTTCAGGAGAAATTAGAGACTGAATGAGGAGTGTATGAGCGACTACAACAATAAACTGGTGCAGGCAGTCTAAAGCTTAGGAAACAAATCAGACAGACAGGTCCTGGACATGGCCACTCTGGTCAGTACTGGACAAATGTTAGAGTCATCAGACTTGGTCCAATATTTCAGAAGACAACTGGTCACTATTACTACAGACAAAATCCAGAATTATAGACTTTTTACCATTTTCTCCAAATGATTATAATATTTGTCCAGTCAGTTTTTTTTGTCTAAAATTGCTGAAATTTGTTAATGAGAGGTTTGAATAAAAAATAATAATAATAATAATAATTTTATTTTTTTACAGGGCTAAGTGAAGCTTGTATTTATAGTGAAAGTGGGGATCTAGCACCCTCGAATCCATTTCTACATACACCTCATCGAGACACTCCAAGGCACACTGCTCTACAAATTATTCAGGCAAGCTTTGATTTTTTAGCAGTTACAGAGATAATGAATGTTTCAATTATATGCTAGGCAAATAAGCATTTCTGATATTCCTTCAGTTCTTCAGCTTATAAAGCTCAAAGGTATATATGTTAATGGTTCCAGGGATTATTGGCTATGGTATTACAGTGGTAGAATATACTGACAGTAGTATGCAAATATGACACTGTGTAGGTTATGGAATTTTATTAATAAAGATGTTTCATCTACCAGGGGCTTCATTGATTCTTAATTTGAAAATTGACAGAGACCCTGGTGGATGAGATGTCTTTGTTAATGAGATGCCATAACCTGCACACTGTGTCTTATTTACATACTGTACTTCATTGCCTCTGCAACCCTGTCTCACACCAGGCCTCCTGGACTGGAAAAGATATATCACAGAAATAAGAAGTGTTAGGAAATATGAAGGATAGTAAAAATAAATGAATACTAAATGTCAACATTAGTTTCTAAGATTCATCTGTCATATTATGTTTATGAGACTGAAAGACATGACCAGCAATCCTGCCATAATGCAACACAACTCACGAAATCATAATGACATGTAATTAAGGATTAAGGATTTTATTTCTTTGCATAGTTTACAATGTGTAATTACAATTTTGAAAGCCACTATCATGCCGGGGCATTTCAGGCAGACTAAACTAAATGCTTAACAGACTACTTAATACTAGGCATGTATAACATAGTTGGGAAACAAGTGTAGTCAAAGATAAGATAAAACCAATATTGCAAACTAGAAATACCACAGGAAATAGCAAACACGAGAACTCCACTAGCAATAGTGAGGATATATTACCAAAAACAACTGGTGGGAGCTCCATTGTTGGTGCTAGGGAGGATAGGAATAAGACAGGTAAACATGCACCAACAGGGAATACAGTCACAGAAACCCAAGGCAAACGGAAACCAAGCCTGTGCACATACTATGCACTTGGTATCTGCTGGCATGGGAAATCTGGAAAAACAGACGGGACGTGCAACTATGACCACCCTAGAAAATGCCGTGCCCATATGACAACAGGAAAATGCAAACTCCCTTCCTGTAAGCTTTTTCACCCTGAAATGTGTACCTCTTCAGTACAGGAAAGACTGTGCTATAACTTAAATTGCCAGGCACACCATCTAAAGGGGACAAAAAGATACAAAACATCCAGGCCATGGGAAAACCTGGGTAGCCACAGCCACTCAAGAGGGAGAGGTTTTTAGTGCCAGGAAGGAAAAAAAACTGGCAGGAAATGGCAGAAATCGTACACCAAATCCAGTCATTCCTGGAGTGGAACCACAGTCGATGGCCTCCACTCCAAACCAACAGATACAGATACTAATGCCGGAAAAGAAATCCCCCCCAGTACCAACAATACCACCAGTCCGATGACATTCTTCTTTGCAAATATACAGGGTCTAAAGCCAGCAACAAACAACAAAATATCTTTCATCCGTGGACTGCTTGCAGAGGCAAAGGCAGTGTTTGCGGCTTTCACTGACATCCACATAAAGGATCACTTGGACAACGAAATATGGATCCCAGGTTACAACCTCTACAGATGTGACAGAGTGAACAGGCAAAAGGGGGGGGGTTGGCCTGTACATTGCAGAGTCACTTGTTTGCACAGAACTGCTTAATGCCTCAAATGATGTAGTGGAAGTTTTAGCAGTAAAGGTCGAGAACCAAAACCTAGTCATTGTGGTAGTCTACAAGCCTCCGGATGCAACTTCCCAGCAATTCCAGGAACAGCTGTTAAAAATTGACCACTGTCTGGAAAATCTTCCAGCTCCTGCATCCAACATCTTGCTCCTGGGGGATTTCAACTTAAGGCACCTAAAATGGAGGAATATAGCAAATAATATTGTTGCAGTAATAACACCAGGAGGCAGCTCTGATGAAAACTCACACTCACACGAGCTTTTAAATCTCTGCACAAAATTCAATTTAAACCAGCAAATAATAGAGCCTACTAGACTGGAGAATACACTAGACCTCATCTTCACTAACAATGATGATCTGATAAGAAATGTCACCATATCAAAAACAATATACTCAGATCACAACATAATTGAGGTTCAGACATGTATTCGTGGAGCCCCAGACCGACATAATGAGGTTAGTCACGAGGGAGCATTCACCAAATTCAACTTCAGTAACAAAAACATAAAGTGGGACCAAGTAAACCAAGTCCTAACCGATATAAGCTGGGAAGATATACTAAGCAACACAGACCCCAACTTATGCCTAGAACACATTAACTTGGTGGCACTCGATGTATGCACAAGGCTTATTCCTCTAAGAAAAATGAGGAGTAGATGCAAAATAGAAAGAGACAGGCGCTCCCTTTACAGGCGACGGAAAAGAATAACAGAGCGGCTAAAAGAGGTCAATATATCTGAAATGCGTAGGGAGACACTGGTCAGAGAAATAGCAAGCATCGAACTTAAGCTAAAGGAATCTTATAGGAGTCAGGAATCGCGGGAAGAACTAAAAGCCATAAATGAAATCAAAAGAAACCCAAAGTATTTCTTCTCCTATGCCAAATCAAAGTTGAGAACAACGTCCAGTATTGGGGCGCTACTTAAACAAGATGGGTCCTGCACAGATGACAGCAAGGAAATGAGTGAGCTACTCAAGTCCCAGTATGACTCAGTTTTTAGCAAGCCGCTAACCAGACTGAGAGTCGAAGATCAAAATGAATTTTTTATGAGAGAGCCACAGAATTTGGTTAACACAAGCGTATCCGATGTTATCCTGATGCCAAATGACTTCGAACAGGCGATAAATGACATGCCCATGCACTCTGCCCCAGGGCCAGACTCATGGAACTCCGTGTTCATTAAGAACTGCAAGAAGCCCCTATCACGAGCCTTTTCCATCCTATGGAGAGGGAGCATGGACACGGGGGTCGTCCCACAGTTACTAAAAACAACAGACATAGCCCCACTCCACAAAGGGGGCAGTAAAGCAACAGCAAAGAACTACAGACCGATAGCACTAACATCCCATACCATAAAAATCTTTGAAAGGGTCCTAAGAAGCAAGATCACCACCCTTCTAGAAACTCATCAGTTACACAACCCAGGGCAACATGGGTTTAGAACAGGTCGCTCCTGTCTGTCTCAACTATTGGATCACTACGACAAGGTCCTAGATGCACTAGAAGACAAAAAGAATGCAGATGTAATATATACAGACTTTGCAAAAGCCTTCGACAAGTGTGACCATGGCGTAATAGCGCACAAAATGCGTGCTAAAGGAATAACAGGAAAAGTCGGTCGATGGATCTATAATTTCCTCACTAACAGAACACAGAGAGTAGTCATCAACAGAGTAATGTCCGAGGCAGCTACGGTGAAAAGCTCTGTTCCACAAGGCACAGTACTCGCTCCCATCTTGTTCCTCATCCTCATATCCGACATAGACAAGGATGTCAGCCACAGCACCGTGTCTTCCTTTGCAGATGACACCCGAATCTGCATGACAGTGTCTTCCATTGCAGACACTGCAAGGCTCCAGGCGGACATCAACCAAATCTTTCAGTGGGCTGCAGAAAGCAATATGAAGTTCAACGATGAGAAATTTCAATTACTCAGATATGGTAAACATGAGGAAATTAAATCTTCATCAGAGTACAAAACAAATTCTGGCCACAAAATAGAGCGAAACACCAACGTCAAAAACCTGGGAGTGATCATGTCGGAGGATCTCACCTTCAAGGACCATAACATTGTATTAATCGCCTCTGCTAGAAAAATGACAGGATGAATAATGAGAACCTTCAAAACTAGGGAGGCCAAGCCCATGATGACACTCTTCAGGTCACTTGTTCTATCTAGGCTGGAATATTGCTGCACACTAACAGCACCTTTCAAGGCAGGTGAAATTGCTGACCTAGAAAATGTACAGAGAACCTTCACGGCGCGCATAACGGAGATAAAACACCTCAATTACTGGGAGCACTTGAGGTACCTAAACCTGTATTCCCTGGAATGCAGGTGGGAGAGATACATGATTATATACACCTGGAAAATCCTAGAGGGACTAGTACCAAACTTGCACATGAAAATCACTCACTATGAAAGCAAAAGACTTGGCAGACGATGCAACATCCCCCCAATGAAAAGCAGGGGTGTCACTAGCATGTTAAGAGACCATACAATAAGTGTCAGGGGCCCGAGACTGTTCAACTGTCTCCCAGCATACATAAGGGGGATTACCAACAGACCCCTGGCAGTCTTCAAGCTGGCACTGGACAAGCACCTAAAGTCGGTTCCTGACCAGCCGGGCTGTGGCTCATACGTTGGTTTGCGTGCAGCCAGCAGTAACAGCCTGGTTGATCAGGCTCTGATCCACCAAGAGGCCTGGTCACAGACCGGGCCGCGGGGGCATTGACCCCCGGAACTCTCTCCAGGTAAACTCCAGAGGTAGTTAGTGGTTTAGCAGTAATTGAATTTATATTATTATTTTTTTTTATTATCACACTGGCCGATTCCCACCAAGGCAGGGTGGCCTGAAAAAGAAAAACTTTCACCATCATTCACTCCATCACTGTCTTGCCAGAAGGGTGCTTTACACTACAGTTTTTTTTTGAACCGCAACATTAACACCCCTCCTTCAGAGTGCAGGCACTGTACTTCCCATCTCCAGGACTCAAGTCCGGCCTGCCGGTTTCCCTGAACCCCTTCATAAATGTTACTTTGCTCACACTCCAACAGCACGTCAAGTATTAAAAACCATTTGTCTCCATTCACTCCTATCAAACACGCTCACGCATGCCTGCTGGAAGTCCAAGCCCCTCGCACACAAAACCTCCTTTACCCCCTCCCTCCAATTGAATTTATAATTGAGATAAATTGATTAACAGGTTACAGTATTATATTTCAGCACATTTTACATGCTGAGATTGAAACCATTTTAATTTTGAAATAATCTTAAAATATTTAGGAATTTTTGAGTTGGTGGTGGAAATAATGTATAGTGTTTGTGTGGTTAATTTTGGGAGTTGAGGTGATTTCTAAGTAGAGCCTTGAATTGGTGTGCAGGCAGCAAGGGCCCTTTGTATATTCAGGCCATGAATTCCAGATCTTTGGGCCCTTTATGTGCATAGCATTTTTGCATAGGGAGAGATGGACATGAGGGATATCAAAGAGTGTTTTGTGTCTTGTGTTATGCAAGTGCATTCTATTGTAGTTCTCAAGAAAGAGTTTGAGAAGAGGATTAATATTGAAGAATAATGTTCCATGTATGTAGTACACACAATAATATGAGTGAGTATTTTATATGTTAAGCAGGTTCAAACTCTTTAATAGCAGTGGGGTGTGTTGCCTGGCGCAGGAGTTTGTAATCAGTCTCGCAGCAGCTTTTTGTTGGATTATTAAAAGTTTAAGGTGATTTGCTGTGGTTGAACCCCATGCACAAATACCATAGGTGAGGTAAGGGTAGATGAGAGAGTGGTAAAGAGCAAGAAGTGCTGTCTGGGGGACATAGTACCATATCTTAGAAAGGATGCCTACTGTTTTGGAGATTTTTTTGAAATATGCTGTATGTGGGTCTGAAATTTAAGACAGCAGTCAATGTGGAGCCCTAGAAATTTGCCATCAGTGTGTCTTGAAATGAGAGAACCATTTACCGATTTGTTTAGCTGAATATTTGCAGCTGCTTCCAAACAGTATGAAGTATCCAAGTGGATACTTTTAGTAGTTCATCATTTACAGTGTTTCTAAGTATGGTTTAAGTAGTTTAGAAGCATTGGGGAGGTCATTGATGTAAATGAGAAAGAGTAGTGGTCCAAAGACACTACCCTGGAGGACTCTAACAAGAACAGGTTGTGTGGTGGAGGCAACACCATTTGTGAAAGTTAAGACACATGTGCAACATCTGGATATCTTTATTGTAGACGTTTCGCCATCCAGTGGCTTTATCAATACAGATTCTAGGACATAATTGGTAGACAGTAGAACTATATACAAAAGATGAGGTAATCAGTCCAAGGCTGAGGGACTGATTACCTCATCTTTTGTATATTGTTCTACTGCCTTCCAATTATGTCCTAGAATCTGTATTGATAAAGCCACTGGATGGCAAAACGTCTACAATAAAGATATCCAGATGTTGCACATGTGTCTTAACTTTCATATTGTCGGTATTTTATACCATTCTTGCACAACACCATTTGTGTATACATACTGGTGTCTGTTGTTAAGATATGATTTTAGGTAATCAAACACGTGTCCTCAGACACCATAATGTTCAAGTTTTAGGTGCAAGAGATCGTGGCTGACCGTATCAAATGCTTTCCGTAGGTCTGTGAAGAGACCCAGTGGAATTTCCTTTTTTTTCAAGCATCGTATATAAAAGTTCAAGCATATGTGTAAATGCATTATTTGTACTTTTGCTTGACCTAAATCCAAACTGACAGGGGTTAAGTATGTTGTTGGATACTAAGTAGGAGTAAACTTGCTTGTGAATTATTTTTTCGATGATTGTAGATAGAAGATATAGATATAGATCTATAGTTATTTAAATCAGTAGGATCACCTCCTTTGTGGATCAGAGTAACCCTTGCTGTCTTGAGTAGGGATGGGAAGGTTGAAGATTCAGTCGACTTGTTAAAAAGTGTTGCAATAATGGATGACGACAAATGAGAAGCTTTTTTATACATTAGTGGTGGTAAGTTATTTGGGTCTCCTGCCTTGTTCTTGAGTGTTTTTATGAGGAGTGAGATTTCAATAGAGTTTGTTGGGGCTAGGAATAGAGTACGTATTTGGGTAGTTACCAATGAGGTAGTTTTGTGACACGTGGTATGGAATGCAACACATTTAATAGGCTTTCATATTCATAAGACAAGACAGTAGAAATTCCCTTGGAGGGTCTTGGCTAGTAGTTCATAAGTAGCATGTGGTAACTGTTGTATATTGATAACAATGTCATTATGAATTGCACTACATATGAAATGAAGCAGAATAAAAAATATGACCTCTTATGAGCTCATTTTGACTTATAACATAATTAAACTACAGTAAGTGAAAATGTGAACTATGCAAGTTTAGGATCCCAAGAGAAAACTGTACACTTTTAATCAAATATTTTTATTTCTAAATTTTTATACATTAAAATATGGAAGGAGTGAATATAAATGTTTAAAACATTCAAATAGTACTCTACTTTGTTGATAAATGAAGTATTTGCTGTATGTTTTACAGCATAATGAGAATATGGCAGTTGAAAAGAGATCAATTTTACCAGTTATAAACCTGAATTATGGGTCATCACTTCCCCTTGATTATGTTAATAATCAAGGGAAAGTGGGAAAATTTCAATGGTGTTAAATGAAAAGAATACATACTCTTTGGTACTACTGCCAAGTGCATAAATTTTTATAAGCTTTCTGCTGAGAAGTATCTCCATATTTAGGATTTAAAACCTATTTTTAATAATAAAAACTTTCATATTTATGTAATTATACCTTTTTAATCAATATTGCATATTTTTTTGTGCAGAATGTTTCCACTCGGAAAAATGTTAGCCAGTATAATATAACAAATACTCGAGGCAAGGTAGTGCGGTTCTGCATTTACAAAACCAGCTTCAGGCTGGGAGAAGATATTGTAGCTACTTTCGACTTCAGCTCAGCAGAAGTTACATGCGTACAGGTGAGACTTATTGGTACCATAATCATATACAGCTCTTTGCATTTAAGGTAATTTTGTTTTAAATATACAGTGGACCCCCGGTTAACGATATTTTTTCACTCCAGAAGTATGTTCAGGTGCCAGTACTGACCGAATTTGTTCCCATAAGAAATATTGTGAAGTAGATTAGTCCATTTCAGACCCCCAAACATACACGTACAAACGCACTTACATAAATACACTTACATAATTGGTCGCATTCGGAGGTAATCGTTATGCGGGGGTCCACTGTACACTAGCAGCAACAGTACTTGTTGTTCCTTCTACAACATTAAACAAAATTCACCAGTTATACAGGTGTGGGGAGGTAGAACAAAAGTATGAAAATAATCAGAGTCTTTGATGATACAAATTTTTGTAGAAAAGAAATACTGAAGACTTGTGGAGGGATGGATGGTCATCTGTAAGCTTATTATATTTATGGAGAAACACATGACTCCCATAATGGTTATACAATACCTGGGTAATAGGAGGTATATAGTCAGGCACAGTCCAAGGAAGGAGAGAGTAACCCTGGTTCCTTGGATCAAGAGCCCATTACTAGTATCAGGGGACCCTTTCATTCCCCCATCCCCTTGAAGAGTAATACAGTGGTACCTCGGTATACGTCCTTAATCCATTCCAGAACCTTGGACTTATACCAAACAGGACGAACACCAAACGAATTTTCTCATAAGAAATATGTATAGGGAAAACGATTAATCTGTTCCTATGAAAAAAAATCCTATTGTTATTGACATATTATACATTGATGGGGTTGTGTAAAATAATTTAAACACTGCTTAATACTAAAATACATAAATACAAAAGAATTAGATGAAATAAATGCCAATTTAACCTCACTTTACTTTGCTGAAAAGAGTCGAGTGTCTACTAGGATAGTGCTGAGAAGGGAGGAGGAGGAAATGTTATTGTTTGGAAGGAGAGTCCCCCTTCTCTTTTCTGTCTCTTTTTCCTATTTGGACCTGGTTGAAGCTCACCAGGTTTGACTTTTACTAAAAACCTTTCCAAAGAACTTTGCTTCTGCCTTCTCCTCAGGATGTTTCGGAAATGTGACATTGTCTGGTCATTCCAGACAAAGGCTCAGGTTAGAGTATGTAGGTGAGAGGGAGATTATTTCCCAGTAAAAGTAGGCCTTAGACAGGGATGTGTGATATCACCATGGTTGTTCCATGTACAGTGGTCCCCCGCTTTTCGTAGTTCCCGGCAATCGTAAAATTCGCCAATCATAGGGGTATTTTCGTATAAACATGGACTCGCTTTTCATAGGTTGACTCGCGAGTCGTAGTTCGTCCAGGACGCATACGCACGGCGTGAGCCAGGGCGGCAGCCAGTCTGGCATTGTTTACCAGTGAGCGAAGGTCCCCTCGTGTGCTCCAGCGAAATATTTCATAATATTCCATTTATTTTAGTGCTTGCAAGTACTAAATAAGCTACCATGGCTCCAAAGAAAGCTCCTAGTGCCAAGCCTGTGGGAAAGAAGGTGAGAAATGCGATTAAATTTAAGAAAACCATCACTGAACAATATGAAAGTGGTACAAGTGTGGCCGAACTGTCCAGGATGTATAAGAAACCCTACACAACCTTATGTTCCATAGTGGCCAAGAAAAATGAAATAAAGGATGCTGTTGTTGCAAAGGGAGTAACTATGCTGACAAAAATGAGATCACCAGTACTGGAAGAGGTTGAGAAGTTATTATTGGTGTAGATAAATGAGAAACAATTAGCAGGAGATACTCTTATGACTTCGTTTATTTGTGAAAAGGCTAGGCAGTTGCTGAAGATTTGGTAAAGAAATTGCCTGCAAATAGTGGTGAAGTGAGTGAATTTAAGGCCAGTAAAGGCTGGTTTGAGAGATTTAAGAACCGTACTGGCATACACAGTGTGGTAAGGCATGGTGAGGCTGCCAGTTCGGACCACAAGGCGGCTGAAAAATATGTGCATGAATTCCAGGAGTACATAAACAGTGAAGGACTGAAACCTGAACAAGTGTTCAAATTGTGACGAAACAGGGCCTCTTTTGAAAGAAAATGCCAAAGAGGACCTTCATTACACAAGAGGAAAAGGCAATGCCAGGACATAAGCCTATGAAAGACAGGCTGACGCTAATGTTCTGCGCTAATGCTAGTGGGGATTTCAAAGTGAAGCCATTACTAGTGTTACCATTCTGAAAATCCCAGAGTGTTCAGGAAAAACAATGTTATGAAGAGTAAATTGTGTGTGTTTTGGAAATCTAATAGTAAGGCATGGGTCACGAGGGAAATTTTCGTCGAGTGGTTCAATGAAGTGTTTGGCCCTAGTGTGAAGGAGTATCTCCTGGAAAAGAAACTGGATCTCAAGTGCGTGCTAGTAATGGACAATGCACCTGCTCATCCTCCAAACTTGGATGACCTAATTTTCGAGGAGTTTGGGTTCATCACAGTAAAGTTCTTGCTCCCGAATACCACTCCTCTCCTCCAACCCATGGACCAGCAGGTTATTGCAAACTTTAACCCTTTCAGGGTCCGTCCCGTAGATCTACGGCTTTACGTTCAGGGTCCAAACCGTAGATCTACGCCATGAGCTCAGCTCACTCTGATAAACTGTGAGTGGTACATTTGGGCCTAGATATGAGAGAATACATCTATGTGGTATGTGTGCACCACATAAAACAGATCCTGCAGCACACTGTGTATAATGAGAGAAAAAAAATGAAATCATGATTTTTCGATTAACCCTTTCAGGGTCCGTCCCGTAGATCTACGGCTTTACGTTCAGGGTCCAAACCGTAGATCTACGCCATGAGCTCAGCTCACTCTGATAAACTGTGAATGGTACATTTGGGCCTAGATATGAGAGAATACATCTATGTGGTATGTGTGCACCACATAAAACAGATCCTGCAGCACACTGTGCATAATGAGAGAAAAAAAATGAAATCATGATTTTTCGATTAAAACAGCAACTTTGCAGTGTTTTTTCGTATGTTTTTTATAGTTGTATTTGCGATTTCTTGGTCTCATTTGATAGAATGGAAGACATATTACAGAAATAGAGATGATTTTGATTGGTTTTAGCATTGGAAATGGCTTGAAACTGAGCTCAAAGTAGCGGAAATGTTAAATTTTTGCCGATATTCAAGAGTAAACAAACGACCTCACACGTCTAATACACATCAGCTGGTGGGTCTAATATACATTCACAAATATGGTGATGATATTTATACAATTATTACAGTATTGCATAACAGTAAATCTTCTATTTTTTGGTGTGAATAAAAATTCATTATGTGAATAAAAAATCAAAATGGAATTTATTTGTAAAGCTTCAAAACATAACTAATGAACAGAGGAAATGTTAGTTTAGTGCCAGGAATGCCTACATTGTTCATTCTGGACCCTATTTGAAATGGAATATTTTGAACTTTGTGTTAAATTGGCCAAATTAACAATTTCCGATCACTTTTATTTTGTAGTTGAAACAGTTGACTTGGCGATTTCTTGTGCTCACGATCGATAGAATAGAAGTAATACTAGTGAAATAGCTAAGAATTTGGTTGATTGGAATAATGTAATTGGCCTAAAATGGGAGTCAAGTCGGCAAAATCGCCGATTCGTAAATATCGCTGACACATCAAAATTCGCGAGAGCATAATTTCGTCAATTTTCCACCAATTTTCGTACTTTTTGTTTTATTACCTTCACAAAAAGATTCTTTACGATTTCATAAAAAAATAACAAATTTTTTTTTGGAAATATCTTGGACACTGTGCGTGACTCCAGATTTGGGCCTTGGACCCTGAAAGGGTTAAAACAGCAACTTTGCAGTGTTTTTTCGTATGTTTTTTATAGTTGTATTTGTTATTTCTTGTCTCGTTTGATAGAATGGAAGACATATTACAGAAATAGAGATGATTTTGATTGGTTTTAGCATTGGAAATGGCTTGAAACTGAGCTCAAATAGCGGAAATGTTAAATTTTTGCCGATATTCAAGAGTAAACAAACGACCTCACACGTCTAATACACGTCAGCTGGTGGGTCTAATATACATTCACAAATATGGTGATGATATTTATACAATTATTACAGTATTGAATACAGTAAATCTTCTATTTTTTGGTGTGAATAAAAATTCATTATGTGAATAAAAATCAAAATGGAATTTATTTGTAAAGCCTCAAAACATAACTAATGAACAGAGGAAATGTTAGTTTAGTGCCAGGAATGCCTACATTGTTCATTCTGGACCCTATTTTGAAATTGGAATATTTTTGAACTTTGTGTTAAATTGGCAAATTAACAATTTCCGATCACTTTATTTTGTAATTGAAACAGTTGACTTGGCGATTTCTTGTGCTCAATCGATAGAATAGAAGTAATACTAGTGAAATAGCTAAGAATTTGGTTGATTGGAATAATGTAATTGGCCTAAAATGGGAGTCAAAGTCGGCAAAATCGCCGATTCGTAAATATCGCTGACACATCAAAATTCGCGAGAGCATAATTTCGTCAATTTTCCACCAAATTTCGTACTTTTTGTTTTATTACCTTCACAAAAAGATTCTCTACGATTTCATAAGAAAAAATAACAATTTTTTTTTTTTGAAAATTCTTGGACACTGGTGCGTGACTCCAGATTTGGGCCTTGGACCCTGAAAGGGTTAAAAAACTCTACACAAAAGCAATGTTTCACAGGTGCTTGACTATGACCACAGACACTCACTTGACCCTAAGGGAATTTTGGAGAGAACACTTCAGCATCCTCTACTGCATAACCCTTATAGGTATGGCTTGGGAGGGAGTGACTACCAGGACTTCGAACTCTGCCTGGAGAAAATTGTGGCCAGATTGTGTCGACAAGAGGGATTTTGAAGGATTTGGGACTGACCCTAATGAGCCTATGTCTGTTGTAAAATCAATTGTGGCACTGGGGAGTTCCATGGGGTTGGATGTGAGTTTGGAGGATGTGGAAGAATTGGTGG